TGTTTGCTGTTGGGGTTTGTCTCAGTTTCTAGTCTCAGTCTGCACAGGCTATGGGGGGATAAACAGTTTCTTACAAACCCTCGTAGCGGCATTGGCTGGGTGAAGGCTGCAGCCAGCACCAGCAAGCAGGCACGCGCGACTCGTCGTTGCATCGTACTATGGAAGGGTTGAGGGGTTAGGATTTAGGGGTGAACGGAGTACCTTATGAAACAGAGCGGAATTTAGGCTTAAGGTTTTATCTATGGAGTTAAGCTTTGGGGTTTTGGGCTTAGGTTGTTTGGTGTGTTTGCGCGCAGGTGGCCTGTGGATGGTTGGGCGCGGTATCAGTTCTTATCCGTGACGCTGCATGCAGCTGCGCATGCGAATGGTTCTGTAGAGGTATCTTCTATGGGGCTGCGCGCATTGGGGGCTGCTCGTGGGGGCCTCGGGGCGGCGCTGAAGGACTTGAGGACGGAGTTAGGGGAGCTGCAGGAGGCACTGTCTGGGTCAGGGGATTTGTCCGACGACGCGGTGTACACAGGAGCAGGCGAGGAGGGAGCAACAGCAGCTGCTGCGGACTTAGCGTATTACCTGGGAGCAATGGGGAGGGCACTGCAGCTGGGCATGGTGGTGCTGCGCGCCTTGCAGCCACGAGGGGCCCCCGCGGAGANATGGGGAGGGCACTGCAGCTGGGCATGGTGGTGCTGCGCGCCTTGCAGCCACGAGGGGCCCCCGCGGAGACATGTCTCACGAAGGAGCAGAGACAGTTCTTTAAGGCTCTCAGACCCAAGGCGCAGTCGGTCGCCCAGGGGTTCCTCCAGGCTCTGGGCCCTTCGCCTCCCATTGCAGCAGTTACCTGCGGCGCCGCTGCGCTGCTGAAGCCGCCTACGGGGGGATCGGAGCTGGAGTCGTCTCCTCCCGCAATCCTTACGGCGGAGCTCTTGGCAGTACAGGCCTGGGTGGACCTTCTCCTGCCTGCAGTGCAACTGGCAATGAGTGCAGCGGCGCTGGGATCATCTGCAGGCGCCGCCGCAGGCTACGCGAAGGAGACGGCTCGACAGGCGCTATCTTCTGCAGCTCTTGCAGCCCTTGGGCGCGCAGCTAAACAGACAATTATTGCGGCTGCTACTGCGGGGCAGGACAACTGCGCTGCAGGCGGAGCAGCAGCAGCGGGGCTTGCAGCGGCCCTGTGTCCCCTGCTGCAGTGCNGGACAACTGCGCTGCAGGCGGAGCAGCAGCAGCGGGGCTTGCAGCGGCCCTGTGTCCCCTGCTGCAGTGCCTGTGTGAGCAGCTCCTCCCAGCCGCCAATCTGCAGGGGCAAGGGACAGAGGAAGGGGCTGCGTCAGTTAACGGACTGAAAAACGGGCAAGAAGATGAAACGCAGCCCTTTATGCGCCTTTCTGATGTGTGCCCCGAGTTGTTCGAGGCAATCGTCCAGGTGTATGGTGGATCAACCTCCCGCGTGGACGCCTATATCTGCCAAATCCTCACTCTAGACAGCGCGGGGCCCCATCTCAACGGGCTCGCCGGGGCCCCCCAAGCGGAGGCAGAGGACCCAGAAGAGTTGCCAGGGCCCGCCGAGTCCCGTGACGTAGCGTCGCTCGAGGCAGAGACAGGAAAAGAAGCAGGGGAAGGAGGAAGCTGCGAGGTATTCAACAACGAATACATGTGGATGGCGGAGCTGCCAGACTTTCGAGAAGTGTGCGCAGAGACAAACGCAGAGGCTTCTGCTGCATGCGGGCCCGCAGGCCAGCTCATCAGTCTCCGTCTCGGGGGCCCTTGCGACTGGCTCGCGCTCGATCCCCGGCGAGTGAAGGAGACACTTGATGCGTTTGCTTTTCACGCCAAATTAGTACAGCCCAGGCAGGTTGTCGCGGAGTTGCAGCAAATACTCAGCCCGTGGGGCCTGGCTGCTGCATCCAGGACCAAAGAGCAGCAGTTGCNGCGGAGTTGCAGCAAATACTCAGCCCGTGGGGCCTGGCTGCTGCATCCAGGACCAAAGAGCAGCAGTTGCAGGTGCACCTTCAGCTGCAGCTCCAGGCTGCCTTGAAGGCTCGATCTAGTCTGGGGCGAGAGGCGGAGTATGATGAGGCACAGGAGAGGGCAGAGGGTGGGGTGGAGGCTGTCTGGACCTCTGAGCTGTCACGGTGTCTGGAGGACTTGGGGCGCAGTTGTGAGTTGAGGGCTTCGCGGGAGACTGCGGCGGGGAGCAGCGCGTACGATGTTGCGTATCTTGTGCCTTACCTAACTGGGCGGCTGACGACGGCCTGCTTTGTTTTGCTGTGGCGGTGGCAGCGGCTCCTTGAGGAGGAACAGGAGTACCAGCAGCAAACGCGCTTGCAGCTGCAGCATCACCTGCAACAGCAGCAGCAGGAGGAGAAAGACGAGGACAAGTCCACTGCCCCCAGTGGCGATCCTCTCCTCGCATTGGGCATCAACCGCCCCGTGTGCGCAGCGGAGCAGGCGCGCCGGGCCTGTGGCGTGGCGGGGGCCTGGTTGCGGTTCCTGGAGGAGACGGCTCGGAAGCAGGAGGAGGAGACTGGGAACGTCTCCTCCACCGAAGGCCCTGAGTTGGAGTCGGAAGGCCGTGGCGAGTCTGTCAGTGCGGAGCAGACAAACGAGACACC